ACTCCACGGTGCAGTACGTGCCCTACTGCGGCGCCCTGAGCCCTGGCACTGCCCTGGAGTTGGTGCGGCAGTATGACATCGTCGCCGACTGCTCCGACAACGTCCCCACCAGGTACTTGGTGAACGACGCCTGTGTTCTGGCTGGAAAACCCCTGGTATCCGGTAGTGCCCTCCGGCTGGAGGGGCAGCTGGTCGTGTACAACTACCAGGGAGGGCCCTGCTACAGATGTCTCTTCCCAATGCCCCCTCCACCAGAGACGGTGACTAACTGTGCAGATGGGGGAGTGCTGGGTGTTGTGCCAGGCATCATGGGGTCCATCCAGGCCTTGGAAGTGCTGAAGATTGCCTCGGGAATGGGTTCCTCCTTCAGTCAGTTCATGCTGATGTTTGATGCCCGTGAAGGGAGATTTCGCAACATCAAGTTAAGACCAAAGAAACCAGACTGTGCTGTTTGTGGTGACAATCCGTCTGTCACCTGCCTTCAGGATTATGAGGCATTTTGTGGTTCTTCTGCAACAGACAAGTGTAGGACTTTACATCTGCTGTCCAGTAAAGACAGAATATCTGTAGAGCAATACAAAAAACTGTTGGATGAGCAAGTTCCTCATGTATTGTTAGATGTTCGTCCGCAGGTAGAAGTGGATATTTGTCGCCTGGTACATGCTGTCCACATTCCTTTGAGTAAATTAGAAGAAAAAGATGAAGAATGTCTGGAATATTTAGAAAAAAGGCTTTGTGAAGAAAAGCAGAGAACTAATGGCCAGACATCTTTTCCTGTATACGTGGTTTGTAAATTAGGAAATGATTCCCAGAAGGCTGTAAGAATTCTGCAGGAGTTACCTGTCAAAGAATTTGGTTCTGTGTTAGCTAAGGATATTAAAGGGGGGCTCATGGCTTGGGCCAGTAAAATTGACCCAACATTTCCTCAGTATTAGAGATATAAATGATGAAAAAAATACAAATTTTCATAGTAAATTCCATAGGGTTACATCCTGTCTGTGTAATGACTCTATCGTGATAAAACAGGAAATAGAAATACCATGTTGCTTTTTTAAATGGTAATTTTTTTTCAAAAAAATTATATATTTTTGTAGGTGTCTGATTATTTTTATAAAAATATGAAACTATTTGTGCAAATGGGAAGAAATGTGTTTCTTGGTTATTATTTAATAGTGAAAATTTGGAATAACTACTTAATTGTGCATGTGATGATTGAGAATTACTCCGAATTACTAATTACAACCTGGAGAATGACAAAGCACAGAAGTCAAGTGTTGAAAGTGTTTTTACTCATTCTCCTAACTGACCAACAAATTGAAACGGTGTGTGCAGTGATGAAAAAAAAATAACTAACTGTTAATCTCTAGCTGGTCAATGGCACTATTAAGCCTATTGCAGGGAGTTGCCAAGACAATGCTGACAAGACTGTTTTCCTCAACATCTTTTAGCTCTTTGTAAAAGCGTTGTGTATTTATGAAAGAGAAGTGCTCACTGCAAATAACAGCACCTACAGCAAGGGTGTTCTATTAAGAACTTCCAGAGCCATCCGTCCTCATTTGTTGGCTGGCAAAAAAGTATATTCTCCGACTTGTGTAGAGAAACTGAGGTTAAGTGTTAGTAAGACATAAGTTTGAGTCCAGAAAGTTTGTAAAACATACAGAAAAGGGTTTTGTGAGTGCTTAGAAGTTTTCAGAGATTGAGAGATGAAGAGGTGGTGAGAGAGGAAAAAAAAATAGATCTGTGGCTTCCCTTCTGCAAGTACAAAGACGTATTTCATAAGTTTTCTCCCTGTTTGTTGTGGTAGTTGCATATCCCCAGTTGTACTCCGTTATTTTGTAAAGTGGCATGAAGAGCTATGCATATCTAAAAAGATCTCATAGATGAACTGAATGAAAAGGAAGAGAAATAAATAGCTTCTCAACAGAGAGCTGCCTGAGTCCTCATCACTTGAGCGTAGTAATTATCTTCTTATTATATTAATTAAGGTATGGATTTCCTTTACTTCCTGAGGAGGAAGAAACCACCTGTCATGACTAATCTTTGCATTATACAAGGGCAACAAGAAGAACAGTATCATTATAATTAGTAGTTGAAAAGGCATATTTTGGTAGAATAAATTTGAGAACATCCACACTGCCTACTTTATTATAACATGCCGTGGATTCTAGCAATAATAATCTTAGTCTGTTGTGAAGGAAACAGTTATGTGAATTTATAAATAGAGAGTTGTATCTCTTGCAATTTAGAGGACAATGAAAACATTGAAGGCCATGACTTAAAGTAAGCATTAGTGCTTTGTGGTGTGTAGTGAAAGCATCATCAGTCAAGACCTTTTAAGACAGGTTGTGGAGGCTTGGTTCAGTCAGAACATCTGGCTTCTGGTGGGTTTCAGCTTTTGGGAATTAGGAACCACAGGGACTTCTTTGAAAGGCTTGACCTATGTTTTCATTTTTCTTTCTTTACTGTGGTGTCAAGAACAGTCTGAAACCTAAAAGGTAACAGTAGCAATAACTCTCTAATATCCAACCTTCCAATGCTAAACAATGGATGGTATGTCACATATCCAGCTGACCTGAAAAAGTGATTCCTCTTCAGTCATTCAAAGCAAGGTGAACCTGTGGACTTGGGGAGAAAGAAAAGACTTTTTGATTCCAAGTGCTGCTTCCAGTGGATAGAAATCATGTGTAAAGTCTTTTCCATTTTTACAACATTTTAGCAGCGTATGTACACAAATTCTGTGAAAGAAAAAGGAGATGACATTAAAGCCTGTGGTGTTTGGTGGAGGATTTTTGTAGCGAATTTATAACTGCATTTCTTGTAGCACATTTTCAAGCAGGAAACCAGACTGTTAGTCTTTGTGCTGTGTAGAAAGCAATTAACACCTCTAGGATCTGGAGAACTCTGTTGAAAAACAGTGATAAGGATGAATGAAAATGGACCAAAACCATAGAATGATATCAGAACTGGCAAAAAAAAGTAAATATGTCAAGTCAGGCTGAGGAGAGACAAACTTTTAAGGATCTTTTCTGTTAAAAAGGCTTTTTGGAAAGACCATTCTTGCTAGTCTGCAAGGACTAAGGTCCAAAGTTCTTAGAGGAATACAACATCTGAAATGCATCTGTTAGTTTTGCATAAAGAGAATTCTATGCAAAACTAATTGGGCCATACAATATAGAGATGGTTATTCTGGAAAGAAGTAGTGGCACAGTTCTGATCTCAAGGGAGTATGCAAAATGTAGGTTTCTTTGGAAAAGAAGTATTCTCTTCCTTGACTTAAGATAGCGATTAAATTCTCAGCAAATATGAAAACATCTGCCATACATCTTAGATAAAGATGGTGTCCATAGTGCTTGCCAAAATTTCATTCTTTGCATGCTGGGGCTTTTATTTTATTTTATGCTTATCTTCTTTTTTTCCCCTTAGCTTACTGAAGTGATACCCAAGTCTTCCTGTAAATACAGTCCTCACACAGTGCTTTGGAGATAGACTGAAAAATCAAGGGTCATAGGATCATAACTAAGCCAAAACCATCCTTATTATTGGAAACTTATCTCTTGTTTTGACTTGCTTTATTTCTTCAACTCTATAAAACACATAGTGGTTTCTATACCAGGAAGTGTAATAGCAGAACTCTACTTAGAAATTCTAAGAGAAGCAATAAAACTGTATTATTTTGTATTGCTGCCAAAGTACTGTCTAAATATTGGTACATGTTGACATTGTGAATGAAGAGAAACTGCTTTATTATCAAGGAGCTTATAGTGTAGTTGGTCTAAGATGGGTTATCAGAAAGGATAAGGTCAGTCAGCAGAGTGTATTTTTCCCTTTGTCCTTCGCTTTTGATGTCATGAGGTTGATTTTTGCTTGTTTGGTTATATTCTCTTTTAAATGGCTCACTAGAATTTGGCACAGGATCTAACTTCCTGTTAGAGATTTAGGGTAACAGAAAGTGGCTGCAGCATTTATTCTGAATTACTGCATTTTAATGTCTCCCACATGCAGGTCCATGGGGTAGCTTCATGGTTCAGGCACAGAGTTAAATATCAACTTATTTTGTCCTGGGATGTGGTTATTATTTTAAGGCAAGGCGAATCAAGCTGGTCTAGCTTCCATGCAGATCTAAAAGGTGTCTGCATAGAAGGTGCTAATGTGCCTTGATAAGTTAAAGTCCTCCTCATTTTGGTGGCAGGAGTCTCTCATCTCAAAACTCCAATAAATTCAGCACTGACCTACTATCAAAGTGTATGATTTAAAAAAAAAAATCCCCTAACAATTGGTGGAACTATTTGTTGACAAATGTGTAAGGGACGTGTCCAAGGCTAGTTCTCAAGGTTCGTATACCAGAATTTTAGGTATGTGAGCATCTTTATTATTGTCCTATTTGTAAGCATGATTTCTAATAAAATTTCAAATGTTCAAAACAAAACTATGTGCTAGATGCTTAAAATACTGCAAGCACAAGTTTATCTTTTTTTAAATATGAAAGCTCTAAACTGTCCTTTGTGAAACTGCATTGGAAAAAGAATTTTAAGGACATATGCTAGGTGGCACTGCAAGTTAATAAACCAAATCATTCTGTAGGTTGTAAGATGCAATTCAACCGTAGCAAGAGGTGAGGTTCACTTGTAAAAATGCATTGTTGTGCAGGTCTTTTGAAAAAAGACCGGGGAAGTATAATAAAGTGGAGCAGGGCAATTGAATAGTGCATACAATATTCCAGGAAAGAATTGTAATGGAAATTATCTATCTAGGCTAAATTGTCAAAGCACTGTTTGTTTCAGAGACTTAACCTGAGTTTTTTTTCACATGCTGTTTTGAAACGCTTTTGCAACCAAAATGGATAATTGCATGGAAAAAGGTTATTAGAAACACTAGCACAAAATTAAACTTAGATCTTAAATCTACAGAGTCACTGTTAGTACATTCTTAATGTTACTGAAAAGCATTGCAGATTTTCTTACCTGGTTAGGGCAGGGTTTTTTTGAAAAGTCAAGAAATTTCCTTTGTGTCCTCCTTGTTTTGTAAAACAGAAAATCCCCACACAAGAAATTGGACTTCTTTGGAAAACAGGAACTGAACTTGCAGAGCTGGTGTATTAAAACAAGCCCATGGAAGTATCTGTGCCCAGAGGTCAGGCACGTTCCTGTGGTAATGAAACTAGATTGTGAACCTTAGCATCCCACGTAGTACTGTAGAAACATTTTATGCCTGTCTTCAGTATTTAAAAGCTAAAAATAAAAAAATCCTGCAAATGTGTTAGATGCAAATGTCATGAATGAGCCTTCTAACAGCAAGCTGCTGTTTCTGCAGAAACTTCAGATAACAACAGCAGCAATGGGCTATCTTCTTCCAGGTCTCTAAAGAAAAGTGTAGTAACAAAAATGATGAAACAAGGGGATGAAAATAAGCATATTCATTTGTTTAAAGCTTCTATAGTTATAAGCATCTTTTAACTCAGGATTTATTAAAATATATTTGAAAGTTTTTCCTCTTTAGAATCTTCAGCTTCGTGTGTGGGATTAAGCTTGTATTCCTTTAATGCTGCAGTTAAACATCTGCGTTACGCTAGCGGTGCAGTCTGGCAGACCTCTTGGTTCATAGATATAAATTGAAAGGAGAGGTCTTGTGAAGTCTGTTTGAATGCTTGTGATTTTCATTGAAATCCAGGTGCTGGTCAGAATATAGAAGTGAAAAGGTGGTGTATTTGTCATTTCCTGCAGTAGACTATCGCAATATTACACATGAAATGGCTTAAATCATGTCCTGGTGAGTTTTTCTTGAAACTGAGTCATTCTATCACTGGAAATTAAAGACTTGCTTATCACTGTATATTTTAGAAAGGGTTGAGTCATTACAGTGTTAGCATGAGTTTTATTGGTGTCACTTGATTTATGCGTGTCTCTGACTTACTACCGCAGTGTTTGAAGCAGAATTA